AAAAAAAAAAGGTTGAGTTGACCAATAAATAAACACCATTTAAAAGTTGACCAATAAATAAACACACCATTAAAAAAAAAAAAAAGGCCTAGGGAATGGACACTCTGTGCATCTTTTATTGATGCCTTTACAGCTCTGTCTCAGACTACCAGATTCTAGGTGCGCTGTCCATGCCAGAGAGCCTGCTCTGCCATTGCGATGTAATGGACTGGAGGTGACAGCCCTGCGGACTTGGACTCTTCTAAAGTAGCTCTGTCTCCTAGGCCACGTCCCCTCCCCACGTTCCTTGTGTAGGTTTACTCCCCAAGCCACAGATAAGTACTTAGCATTTCACTACAGTTCTGTTCTCCGTAACCAAGATTGCTTGCAACTTTTTTGCCTTAGTGACTTTGGGGGGGGAAACAAACCCGCATCCTTACATTTCTTTAAAGTTCGTAGAGATAAAGTTAGTGATTAGGTAACTTACGATAACATAATAATGTGGAATATTCGCCATCTTCTACCTCTGCCATTTTCCTGCAGTTCCACTTCCTATTTAGGTAGCTCAGAGAGAATGATTTTAATGAAAAAACTCGTCTCCTATAAAAACAAAACACAACACAACACTACACAATTTTCAGATCTATCCTGCTTTTCCTTTTGGAGTAAAGACAACAAGGTATAAACATAAGTGATGGTTTCCCACCTGTCATTTCTTGCTAGAAACATTTACTTAAGAGTTTCTGTTACTTTCTGTTCCGATGGGGATCTGCTAATGTCTCTGGGAAACTAACAATCTAATTATTAGAAAACCATTTCAGCGTAGGAAATAGATACATGATAAACTTTATTATTATTTAGTGTAAAAATAAAAATTTCCCGCAGATCTCCATACATAGTAATTAATTAGCAGGGCTTCTTTTTCTAAGTGACCACAGATCTACTCCCCTTTCTAGGCTTTACATTGTAAATAATCCTATAAATACTTGGATTTTTTTTAATGACTTTTGATTTGGGGGAACAGGCTTTACATAAGCTTTCATTCCTTCAAGAAGTCTTGACAAAAAAAAAAATATTTTTTCTCATTTTGGTATGATTTGCAGCATTTCAGCTGCTTAGGTGGGAACAAACATAACCCCACTTTGCTTCCAGCTTTTGAAACTCTTTACCTTCTTCTTGGAAAAAACAGAATTAAGAGAGTAAGGTAGATTTCACGTGTGCTTCTATAGGTCCTTACAGACTTGAACCAAAGTCAAGTCAAAGAGCATATGACCAACCTCATGGAATAAACTGTGCTCTTGAACTTATTTTAGTTCTTCTAATTTTGCACCTTTTCTTATCTTCATCAGCCTTTTGTGGTGATGAGTTGCCTTTTCTATGAGCATTTGGGAAGAGTGTTCCAACACTAAAATAAAACATTTTAAAGACTACAGATAGTATGCTTTCCAGTTCTATTCTATAGAGCCCCGGATGTTTCACCTCTTAGAACGCGCTTCTTTATAGGTGCAAAGTTATGGGATTTATAGAAGAAAGCATTCATTAGAATTTTCCAGAGAATGCGATCAGGAATGTCATATAGGCCCGGTGCTGAGTTCTTTGTCCACTTAGTCACACACCACCTGGTAGGAATGGAAGAGGAAAGAGATGGCCAAACTCTGACAAAGGCTTTTCCTTAGAGAAGAACTCGAAGCCTAGGTAAGGGTTCATGTCAATGTCGTGATTTAATGCAACTCGTGGTGTAGGGAAAGGACCAGGAAAATGTTCTTGTTCCACGTGTAAGAAGGTAGTTGCCCATTTGCAAGTTCCAGTTATGTGTGTAAAGCAGAAATATAAGGTACCAAGCCTGTTAGGAAATAAACCCAAACAAAGAAGTGGGTTTGACTTTAATTACTGTGTACTTGAGGTTGGCTTTGGATATGGATTTTCTAAAAAGTGATGTTTTATTGTTTATCATCTAATGGCTGTAAACTGTAGTACTAGAATAAAAAAAAAATTGGAAAATCAACTTTTCCTCTGCCTGGTTCACCTTCATCTGGCCTTTCTTTAGAGTTTGTTTCTTCTCCATCTTTTTCCCCACCCTTGTACAATTTCTTCCCCTGTGTCCTGCAAAGCATTTTTTCCCCCCTCTATCTCTCCACGCCTCTTCCTTGGGTTGCTTTATTTTGTGTTGTAAACTTGGTCTTCCTCCCCACCGTGGCTTTTGTTTTTTATCACAAGTTCATGTGGCTCACATCCAGATTGCGCCAGGCTGAGCGGGGCCGCCAGTCGGCCGAGTCAGACAACCGGCTCTTCAAGCAGGACTTCGGAGACAAGATAAACAGTCTGCAGCTGCAAGTGGACCAGCTCACCAGGCAGCGGTGAAGAGAGGGCGCCAGGAGCTCCCAGGGCGGTCGTGGGTAATTCTAAGGCCGGCAGCAAGAGAAGGAGGTCCCCTGAGCCAGCCCTCTCCGTTCTGTCTTCGAAGTGTCCTTTCTCTGGAATTAGCATTCAGGAAGCTTCGCATATATCGACATTCCCGTATCTTTGTCTACATGCATTGCGATCAGAAAAAGAGGAAACTAGAACCCAAGGCCCCAGATAAATAGAAAGGACTAAGAGAATTAATAGCCCACATAACACTGATAAAAATAGTATTCCCTAAATTTTTACTGTGTGCCGCAAACTTTCTGAAGCACTACACGGGCATCCGATCCCAACATCTTCCCACCCACCTGTTCGTAGGAGCTGTCTTACCCCCCTTTCAGATGAAATTAAAGCTTAGATGCGTTCAGCTTGTCCAGATTGACACAGTTCAGCAAGTAAGTAGCAGCACTTTAAGAGTCTGTCTCTCTGACTCCAAGTCCTTAACCACTCTTCCATATTATCTGTCCAGTGAGACTCAATTCTTTGCTGAAGCCACTGACTTCAAACAAAGAGAACTTTGTTGTTGGATATAAAAGCACATGGCTGCCAGGGACACTAGTGGCGGACAGTAGAACTGGACATTGAAGATTAGAGACCAGCTAATTAAGATGAAATGGGACAACAGAGTTGGTACTTTCAGGTTGTTTCTTGCTGAAATTCTGTACATAGTGTCTTCTAATTGTAGTTAACCCTACTAAACATCATTCAATTGACTACAACTCTTTATTAAGAGTTAATCTTAAATACTGATATTCAGAGTGGTGACCCTCAGGCACTGGGAGATCTTAAAGTACATCCCTTTTTTAAGATTTCATTTATTTATTTGAGAGAGAGAGAAAGAGAGAGAGAGAGAGAGCATGAGCAGGGGGAGGGGCAGAGGGAGAAGCAGACTCCCTGCTGGACACGGAGTCCCACCTGGGACAATCCCAGGACCCTGAGATCATGAGCTCAGCCAAAGGCAGGTACTTAACTGACTGAGCCACCCCTTAAAGTACATTCCTTTTTTTTTTTTTTTTAAGATTTTATTTATTTATTTGACAGACAAAGATCACAAGTAGGCAGAGAGGAGGAAGCAGGTTCCCTGCTGAGCAGAGAGCCCGATGCGGGGCTTGATCCCAGGACCCTGGGATCACGACCTGAGCCAAAGACAGAGGCTTTAACCCACTGAGCCACTCAGGCACCACAAAGTACATTCTTAATTATCCAAAAAATAGTAAACATATTGTCTGTATTTAGTGTTACTGGTTTTACTGTATTGTGTTTTAACACCTTAAAGCCTGATTGTCCATATATATCTGGTAACTTTTTATTAATCAAGTATTAAAATTTAATTGCTGAGCTTTAAGAAAGGGTTTGGTATTCTTTAGAGAATATGATTGCAGAAATTCAAATTATGATCCTTTTCATCTCCTGCCCATCCCAGGCACCAGCTTGAGTTAGAACTAAAACTGGAAAGAGAAAGAAGGGTACAGAACAACAGGAGCATCCCAGGAAAGGGTCCTCAGAAGCCACAACCCAAAATGGTAATATTTGTTATTCCCTTGGTCATTTACTTAATTTTTAGGGGCTACCTCGTTGAGCTGGACGGTTTTCTCTCTGGCAACACAAGCGTAATGCTATGGCCTCGAGTATGTACATGCAGACAAGACCTGGAGTGAACACAGGCTTTGGTTCTCAGTCTACCTCTAGACACTCTCTCTAACTTGATTTCACTTTAAGTAAGATTATTTGGGTGTCTTAACAAAAATTCATGTTCCTTGGACTTCTTCTGCCTAATACCTTTAATACTAGGTTAGAGTAATCCTTCCCGACTCTGAATTTCCCTTTATTGTCTTAAATGTGGATTTGCTTCTGTATGCCTTTTCAGAATCGTGAGGATTTCAGTTTTACTATGCTCAAGGTACTTTTCTTGGGAAAATTAGAACAAGAGGGAACTAGAGTTGCTTGGGGAAAAGAAAGTAATACAAAGTTTTTAAAGAACAGCAGTAGAAGTTTCTACACAACAGCCTTAGGAGAGAGACCCCCAGCTCCTATAGTGGCAAGGGAGCTAACGTTCAATGAGACCATCTCTGGGACCCAGGAAATTGGAGCCAACCTTTTCAAATAATAAAATCAGAAAAGTATGTAATACCTTTTGTGTCAAAGACAAACACAGGATAAAAGTAGCTTCTTGGTTCATGTTATATATAACAAAGGACAAATGTATAAGCTTCTTATCTAGCATTTTTAGAGAAAGAGATGCTAGTTTGCTGGAGCGTAGCAAATAATAGTAAATGGAAATGTATTGTGTAGTACTCATTACTACCCCTTTACTGTGTGCAAAATACTATTTTTGGTACCATGCCATCTTTATTAGTTTAGTTTCACAAACAGAAAATCTCCTTAGCCAGGCTTGCAGAGATTTATTTACTTAAATGCTTGGCCTATCTTACCTGCTTTTCCAGTGAGCCCTTGAGTTTCTCAATCTTAAATTGCCCTGCAGTCGGGGTTCCAGGAGTGTAAATATTGCACTAACCTCCTTTCCTTGACACTTGAGTGGTCTAAGAACGTACATTCTATTTTTGGAGGCTGATGGACAGCAGCTCAAGACAGCACTGTGCGCGCCACAGAAAGAATTTGTCACTGAGAACCGCCCAGGCATGGCTTACGAGCATTGGTAGAAATGCAGTTTGGAACTTTACATTGGTCCTTCAGAGTAGACGTATCATCGAGTTGTGTGGGCCGTGTAGGTTGTCATGACATCGTGGCAGCGGCTTGACTGAGTGTCCAGAGGATTACGGTCTGCTAGACGTGCGGTGCTCGGTTTTCCCAATTTTCCAGAGCTCAGCTGGGAGTGAGGGTGGAGGCAGATAGAGATTTACAGAAGTAACTAACATACCCTAAGAAGGAACTGATACCTTGAGCTCACTTCGTAAATAAATCCAGTATATTCTGAATTTTCATTGAACCTCAAGAGTTAAGAAGGAAAATAGCTACTCTGAAAACCATTTGTGGCAAACGCTATCAGAATAATTTGTTAAGAAACTACTTAGAGCGAAGAATGAGGGAAAATATCTTGAAAGTTAAATTCCTTCCCTAACAAAAAAAGCTGCTTAGCTTTCTATACCTAAGCTAAGGCAGTACAGAAGAAATGTCTGCAATACCATCGCTGTTGAGCATTCTGAATAACTAATGAATTGGGTTATTTTCTTTTGGCAGGATGGGAAGCACAGAATTCAAGAGGAAAATGTTAAACCAAAAGAGGCCCTGGACGAAAGCCACAGGTGTTTGTTAATAAAGTACTAACAAAGAACTCTGGTTTGGGGTGGCGCAAAGAGGGAGAGTTTGATATATACAGTGGCACAGGCCAGACAACAACTTGTAATAGTAACACTCCAGAAAGACATTTTGAAGGGGGAATGAATAAATCAACCAGAGAACACAGACTAAACCACGCCCACTTAGTCCATTTCAAGAAGAAAGGTGATTAAGCTGTCCTCCTCTGACTCTTCCCCGGTTAATCCCCAAATTCAAATGATCACTTCAGCGATCATTTCTCATCTTTACGGGACTGGTATCACAGAAGAATGAAGTACAAATCATAGCATTCTTAGGTTCTTAAATGAACTCGAGTATGGCTTGTTTCCCCCATGTGCTATGTGAAAGGCAGCTCTGTTTCCAGTAAATCCTCTTATTTTCTTCGTGTCCTTTCTCTTAAGGGTCTCAAAAAGCTTCACTTGATGCTTTTTTCTCAACTCTTCATCTGATGTGCTCACTATGAAAACCATAGGATTATTCAAGGAAGTTGCCTTTTAATAATTATTTTAGCAGGTAGAAATAGAACAAAATATTACACAGTGCCACCTGCATTAAAAAATGAAGGAGTCCAACTGTACAACATTCTGGAAGAGCCAAAACCATGGAGACAGTGCTTGCCAGGGGCTCGGGGGTATGATGGATTTTTTAGGACCGTGAAAACACATGGGACTGCGATGATAAATACGTGTCCTCCAATTGTCCAGACCCCTAGAATGTACAACACCAAGAGTGAGGCCTAATGCAGCCCGTAGAGTGATTAGTTATGATGTGTTAATGTGGGTTCATCCGTTGTCACTTCGTTTACCCCCCTGGTGTGGAATGTTGATGTTGGGGGAAGGTGGAAGGACAGGCGAGGTTATATGGGAAATATCAAGACTTTCTGCTCAGTTTTGCTATGAATCTAAAACTGCTCCCAGAATCAGTGTGTTCTAAGAACAGCAGCAGCAGCCAAAGTTAGTAATGAGAAAGATCCCACAGAGGGACTTGGAGAGAACTATACTGCATACATTTTGGCAGCTGTCCCTCTCCAAGCTTTGATGCCTCAAGAATGAGGTAGTGTGTCACTGAGCAAAGTCACTGCTGGAGAAGATAAATCAACACAGTTCCAACAAAAAGATTCCTTATGCAGGTACTTGACCTCCAAGGCCAGAATGATTCCAAAGCTTTCAGTTTACTCCCTAAGAGCGCACGGCCTGATTGAGGACTAACCTTAAATGACCCTGCAGATCAGCATGGGCCAAAGAAAGGAACTAGAAAGGCTGTAAAATTAATGAGGGCTTAAAAGAGCCTTTCAGAATCAGCCCCATTCCAGACTAGAACTAAGTCATTTACAATCAGGAGACCTTACAAGCCAGCATCTGATTTCAGCCCTGGGAATATAAGACACTATCTTCTACCTATATAGTGCCCTGCAGCTTAAATAGTGTGTTTCACATTCATTATCTCCTTAAAAATGTAATTCTCCAGAAGAGAAAACTGGGGAGCACAGAGAAGTAACATGGCCCACCTAAGCGGCTTCTGCTTCTCATGTCTTTGTTGAAGTCCTTTGCTCTACGTAATAGCTGTTTCCAGAGCCTGTCCTGGCCAGAGCAACAATCCTAAAACATAGCCAGGTTTCTTGGAATTAGAGTTCGAGGAACAGCTTGGACACCTGGTCACACTGGTGGTCACACTGCCCCTCGGTGGAAGAGAATTAGAACCACTGTGGATCTGTGGTGTATTATCCCCAGAACTGCTTCTCCTCTTAAATTCTGTTTCAAATTGGAAAAAGGAGGGTGAGCTTAGCTAGGTCTCAGGAAGAAATAGTTCAGCATGAATGGGTACTCCCGTGACAATCTCATTCATTCCCCTTACCCTGATTAATTTGCTAAAGTTGACATTTTAAGGACATTTGGAAGAGGGGAACTAATACAGGACATATAATGGGTAGATTTCTGTAATATCATAACAAAAGATACTAAAATGAATAGCATTGGCCATTGGAGTTTTACAGGCTGGGATATGAACGCTAAACTATTTTCTTGGTAGTAAAAATGAAGCATACAATATAACTCCAAGTCTGTTTTTTGGTTTTTTTTTTTAAGATTTTATTTATTTATTTGATGGAGAGAGAGATCACAGGTAGGCAGAGAGGCAGGCAGAGAGACGGCGGAGGCAGGCTCCCCGCTGAGCAGAGAGCCTGATGTGGGGCTCCATCCCAGGAACCCTGAGATCATGACCTGAGCCGAAGGCAGAGGCTAGGCCCACTGAGCCACCCAGGTACCCCCCAAGTCTGTTTTTAAGCAGGAACTATAATTTAAGTCAAGGATCAGATTCTGCTAATAGATCGAACCACCAAAATTTCCTCTCCTTGGAGGTCAAGATTAACAATTATGTCAGTCCCAACAATGTAAAAGAACCGTGGTGCTGCTTTTCCTGTGCTTTTGCAATGATTCACATAGAAATATAATAAGTTGCTGTTTGTTCCTGTTTTTAATTTTCTATTGTAGGCTGCCGTCTCACCCTGTGGATGAACAGGTAATGGCTTCCCCCCGTTCTCAGACATCTTGAATGAATTCTCTAGTCACCGGTACTCTTCCTGGCTGTACACTGGCAGCATGGGAAGTCGGTGAATGCACACAGGCCCCTGGGGCCCGCCCGTGTATCAGTATCCTTAACACAGGTGCATTTGCCTGAAACTGTCGCCTGCCCGGAAGTCGCGGAGCTCTGGGCACTTTACTAAGTAAACAGCAGGTCTCGCTTCTTACTTGAAATTCTCTTTGCCATGCTGTGGGACCTAAGAGAGCTCACTGTACCTCTTTTCCCCTTAGTTTTTCCTTCCATAAAAAAGACTTATTGATCACTTGGAAATAAGCAAATATAAAGGGTTGTGAGATACTTTGCAGGTAAAACAGGCTATGACAACCTGCAGAGAAAGAGGGTAAGTGCGGCTATAGTCATAAGCCAGCCCATCCATCATCCATGAGATACAAAAAAAGCCTACTGTCTTCCATTCTTGATGATACAGTAGGACAAGAGAGATGGGGCTTTTTTTTTTTTTTTAACTTTCTACTTTACACTTGTATCCTCGAATTTTCTTTTTAGAAATAAAATCACGTTACTTTTTTATAAAAATGAAAAGAGCCCCAGGAATATTGATGGGATTACCAGAGCTGCATTAAGGAGTTAGAACCATATGTCATTTGTTTCTTTGGTTTCCAGACAGTTTGTAGTGTGGTTCTACTAATTTTGTGATTTAAAAAAATGAATATTCTGCAAGTATTACTGTTTGTGGGCTAAGAGACACTAACTCGCTCAATGTGTGGTTTAGAATCAGCTGCTGCTCTCTGAGAAGCCACAGACGTGTCAGCTATGCCGGGAAGATGGCAGCCGAACCAAGGTAACAGCGCTGAGGCCCAAACGGGTTCTTCACAGGGATGGCCCTTTCAATACTAGGGACTTTGCTGTGTAGAGTACAGAGTGGGGAGAAAAGCAAAAGGGTGCAAGCGTTTATAAAATACCTGTTTAAAAAATACGGGTTGTTGGTGTTTTTCCAGCCGTAGTAAGTCATGTCAGTAAATCCCCATTAAAATAAATATAAGTAATTTTAAAAATAAACTTACAACTAAAAGTTTATTGAGTGCCTATTGTGTGGAATGTGCTATTTCCTGTGCTCGAGAAGGAGTAATGAGCCAGCATGGACCAAGTCCCTGTTGTAAAGCTTGTCACCTTTGTGCCACCGGTTTATGGACGAAGCACCTCGGGCTCAGAGATTTTAGGCACATTTCTCAAAGTTCCTCAGGTTGTAAGCGGCAAAGCCCGGCTGCAACCTGACTTTGGCTCCAAAATCTATACTCCTCCGATAGTTTCTCCTGCCTAGAACGAATCAGCTAGGTTGGGGCGGGAGGGATTCTCTGAATTATTTGGAGGATCAGCCTCTGCCAGGGAGCTGCGCCCTCTCCACCAAACCACTTGCTTTCCCCTCGGGCCCGCGGGGTCTCTGGCAGAGCGCTTGCCCGAGGCAGAGAGAAGGAAGCGTTCATGTACTGTGAGTGGCTCCTGGACCTGCTCACACTGCTGCCCCCCAGCATGGCATTCGGTGCCCGTTTCATTGTAGATGCTCAGAAATGGACAAATGACTGTAAGAAACAACTGCTTAGAAGAGATAAGGAAATGTGCCCAAATTCCGGATTGCACCCTGCATGCTGCCGTTTGTGACCTTGCTGAATTTTAGTGAGCAAAATTATAATAGGACCTCGTCTCAAATAAGCAGAATCCGATGAAGATGAACTTGCCTCTCTAGAATTAGAACTGGAATTCTAGACATACTTCCCAAAATAAAGAAACGGCTAATGTAATTCGGGCTTTTCTGGCCATGCAGGATAACCGCAGTATGTCAGAGGGAAATTCCTCTCAGGCTTTCAAATAAAAGTGGCCCCTACCTCTACCGCACTGTCAGGAAGGTGAATTGTTTGGGAGAAAGTGGCACTATTAATGGGGCCAATTACTCTTCACAGCCTTTATACAGGGACCCTTGGAGCTCTGTGGGCACCACCCTGTCACAACCTTTCCAGTGACACTGCCAGAATGACCCACATGCTGCCCCATTGCATGACCACGAAAGAGTCAAAACGCTTCATAAAGAGACTGATTTCCCTATAAAGAGGATGCAGGGGGCTGTGCTCCTGCCGCACTGATAACCCAAAGGGTGTGCTTATACAGCTTTCCAGGAAAGCATTAAGTGCATCAGTGCATCAGGAAGTACATTTTGGGTTCATACTCCGCAACATTTTTAACCCTAGGCTGGCTACCCGGCCCATCACTTGGCCACTCACTGCCTCATTTGGAGTATTCTTAGATACTTGCGAACTGATTTTAGAATTAGCCCCTCTGAAAGTGAATATAATGAATGAAAGTATTCTAAACTTACATTATTCGTGTATTATATGTTCTTTGGAATTCTGTGGCAAGGCTTCTCATTTAGATCTAAAAATGAGATAGGAAGCTTCTTCGTAGACAGACTGTGCTTGGTCAGATCCCATCTGGCACTTAGCAAACATTCAGTCAATACTTGACGAGGCACTGAGCATTTTTCGTACGTGGCCTTTTATAGCCCATGTATCTGTATGCCCTGCACTTCTGTTCCCCGCCTAACCTCCCTCTTCTCCTCGCAGAATGTGTGTAAGAACTGCAGAGGGACCTTCTGTAATGCCTGTTCAACAAACGTACTGCCTCTTCCTTCAAGTATCAAGCCTGAGCGAGTGTGCAATCCCTGCCACGAGCATCTGATGAGACAGTATTCCACCAGCCCATCGTAAGACTGGAAGCCGAGACCTGGACCAGTGTCTCCACCCATGTTAGATGTCAGGATCTCCTAGAGCCCAGAACTTAAAGAGTCAGCTCCAGCATTGATAGGAATGGTTTAAATAAACCGGGTCCAGGGAGAAAAGGCAGTGGTTGGGGTTGCTGGAAGGTTTGCTCAGTTGCCCTGATGACTGTAGGAATAAAAGTTACTCAGCTGAGCCTCTCTCTTCTAAATCTTAAACAATCCCACCTTTAAAGGCGTTATTTTTTAGCATGTCTTTGGAGGAACTATTTTTATAAATAGTGACAATACTGGCATGAACAAAGTAGGAGAGAGGGTCCATACAGATAAGAAAAAAAAATAGGAAAATGATCATCTCCTTCTTTTACATTTGCAGATTCAAGGGGGAAAGATAAATGTTAACTGAGAACAAAATTTAGATGTTTTATATTATCCCCAGGTGCTGCTAGACATAAACGGTTTCCTCTTCACCCCCCCCCCCAACTACCTCTTTAAAGTATCTCTACCAAACTGTGAACCCAAACTCAGGGAAAAGTAATTACAGAGTAATATAAATTTTGAATGTACTTAAAACAATGTAATTTATTACAGTTTCAGGAACAGAAAGGTCCTGGCCTTACAAGTGTTTTCAGTATCAGAATAAGAGGATCATTTGCCATTTCTCCACTTAATGACTTCAGAAATAAGTATCTGCCCTTTTCAGAATGTCCTCCTGCAAAATAGAAGCCAGCTCCCTTCCTAAGCCTTCCCTGCTCTCCCAAGTCATAATGACAACTGTGTTTTAAAGATAAGGTTTGAGTTTTGCAAATAGGAGGTATTGAAAGCAAAGGTTTGTCAGGTGTAAAGTAAAACAATTTTAATTTGTCCGTGGCTGAGATCAGTTAGCTCAGAGTATTTATTTTCTTGAATAAGGGGTACCTTTCTCTGAGCCAAGAATTAGAACTGGTTGGTAGACAGATTTTTTGGAAAGTGTGATACTTAAAACATCTCTTCATATCAAACCCTTTGGGGAAAGTTGGGGGAAGTGCCTTCCACAAGGGAAGAAAAACTTTGGTATGTGCTATTTTGATTATGTTACATGTGTCTAGGTTATTAATTACAATTAAGACCTAAGAAGATACAGATTCTGTAACCGGTTTAGAATTCTGGGGTGGAAACATCCTGGAACCATCATACTTGATAAATTCTCCTCAAAAGGGTTATAGCCTGGGAAAGAGTTGTTATTCCAAAAGTCTGGCCTGTTACATGGTGAAGCTGAGCTTTTAAAAGTACTAGGGAAAAATAAAATCTAATAATCCTAGCCTAGGTTGTTGACTATTTTTATCCCTTTGAATAATATTGTGTGTGTGTGTGTGTGTGTGTGTGTGTGAGATCATCTTATTTTTGGCCATCTGCATGTTCTCAGCGCTGTTCTAGGTGCTACAGGTAATGTGGGGAATTATCCCAAATTAGCAAAAGCTATTTTATAATTAGTTTTGAATCAAATTGCAAAGAGGAGGCAACTCGGTACCTGGAATGTGAGGAAGAGTAATTAGCCACTTGAGATTTTTATTGTGACTTAACACACAAAGCTATTTAGGCTCCCCCCCCCCCCGACAAATCTCCAAAGATCTCTTGGTGCAACTGTCCACAAAAGCAAGGGAACCAAGTCATGAATGCCTTGACTTCATGTTAGTTCTGTCTTCCTTAAAAATTGCGCTTTCCAGTATTCACAGTGTAGCACCAACAAGAATACCATTCTTAGGAATAAACAGAGGCAAAAGATTTGTACACTAGAGACTACAGAACATTGCCTAAAGAAATTAAAGATCACAACAAACGGGAGGACACACCATGTTTATGGATTGGAAGACGATATTGTTAAGATGTCAATATTACTCAAATCCATCTACAGATCCCATGTAATCCTATCAAAAACCCCAATATTTTTTGCCTAAATAAAAGTACCCATGCTAAATTCGTATGGAATCCCAGGGGACACCCAAATAGCCAAAACAATCTTGAAAAAGAACAAAGTTGGAGGTCTCATTTCTTACTTCAAAACTTAGTACAAAGCTACAGTGATCAAAACGGTATGGTTTAAAAAAAAAAAAGTATGGTACTGGCTTAAAGACCTAGACCAATGGAATAGGAGAGCTTAGAAATAAGCCTTTATATATATACGGTCTAATGATTTTTGAGAAGGGTGCCAAGACCAGAAGGGGCTTGAAGGACAGTGTTTTCAACAAATTTGGTGAGAAAATTGATGTCCCAAGCAAGGGAAAAAAGTGGGACCTCTACTAAAACATATACAAATATTAACTCCAAATTGTTCAAATACCTAAACAAATGAGCTAGAACTAGAACTAGGGGGAAAAAAACAGGAAAAGATTCATATTAGATTTGGCAATAATTTATTGGATATAAGACACCAAAAGCACAGGCAACAACAATAACAAAAAAAACATGGGTTGGACTTTCATCAGAATTGTGGAGAAACTGGAACTCCTGTGTGCTGTTGGCAGGGGTGCGGCCACTGCCGAACAGTATGGCGGTTCCTGAAGAAATTAAAATCACCAGGTAATACAGCAATTCCCCTCCTGGGTATACTACACTCAAAAGTGAAAGCAGGGACTCAAACATATTTATACAACTATGTTCATAGCAGCATTTACAATAGCCAAAATGGGAAGCAACCCAAGTGTCCACCAAGAAGAAACAATGCGGCAAATACATACAATGGCATATTCAGCCTTAAAAAGGAAGGAAATTCTGACACATACTACTACACAGATGAATCCTGAGGACATTACAAGTGAAACAAGCCAGTCACAGGACAGATAGGACTCCACTTGTGTGAGGTCCCTAGAGCAGCCGAATTCAGACACAGTAGAATGGTTGTTGCCAGGGGTTTGAGGGAAGGGGGAATTCAGTTGGGGAAGATGAATATGGGTTTGCACACAGTTCTGTCTGCTGAGGGGGTCTAGAAGGCAACACTTGGTAGCAGTGGGCACAACCCGATATCTAATCTTTCATTAGAAACTAAAGCCTTGGGCGCCTGGGTGGCTCAGTCAGTTAAACGTCTGCCTTCTGCTCAGGTCATGATCCTGGGGTCCTGGGATGGAGTCCCGCATCAGGCTCCCTGCTCAGCAGGGAGCCTGCTTCTCCCTCTCCCTCCCCCCTGGTCATGTTCTCCCTTGCTCTCCTTCAAATAGATAAGCTCTTAGAAAAAGAAAAGAGAAAGAAAGAAAGACTGAAGCTTGGGTGTTGGGTTTTTGGTTTTTTTTTTAAGATTTTACTTGACAGCACAGCAAGGGGAGTGGCGGGCAGGTGGAGATGGAGAAGCAGGCTCCCCACTGAGCAAGGAGCCCATGCCGGGCTCAAAACCAGGACCCTGGGATCATGACCTGAACTGAAGGCAAACGCTTAACTGACTGAGCCACCCTAAAGCTTGGTTTCTAACACCATTATCCATTAAAAGGAACCAGGGCTCTTTGAAGAAATGGCTGATGCTAGGTCTGGGACATCTTGTAATGCCAGAAAGTAAGAAAGTAGCATAAAAACCAAGGGTTCAAGGACACTGAAGGGATACAGTGGCCAATAAAAAGCTCCCAGTGGCCAAAGCTGTTAAGTGTAAGCAACGAAATAATGTAGTATAGGATTATAAGCCAAAGTACAAAATATCTGAGCTCCTATTAATACAAAAGATTTTAAGTGAGGGAGAAGTGGCAAATCTACACAGAAAATTCCCAAACTATTTTCTCTTTCTTCAAAATGAAGCTTTACTTTCCACCTTTTGAATGTGGGCTGTACTTAGTAACTGCACAATATAGAAAGTATAATTTTTTTTTTAAAGTACAATATAGAAAAAGGAAAAAGGAAATTTATAGTCACCCAGCAAACCCTATCTTGGTCAGGTGATCAAAATTGATGTCAGTGATGAGTCACACTGAAAACATGAATCTTTAATAAGATGAGTGAAAATGGGACCCTGGTGTTCTTCCTCACCAAATCCTATAACCCCACTGTAACCATGAGAAAAACCTCAGAAAACTCCACTGAAAGACATTCTACAAAATGCCTGACCAGTCAGTATTCCTTAAAATTGTCGAGGTCGTCAGAAACAAGGTCAGAGGTTACAGAGACATGATGATTAAATGTAATGTGGTATCCTGGAACAAGACAGACAGGAGGCAAAAGCCAATAAAATCTAAATGAAGTGTAGAATTTAGTTCATGGTAACGTACTAACATTAGTTGTGACAAATACACTGTAGCAATGTAAGAGGTGAACAATAGTGAAACTAGATGAGCTACATAAAGGAAATCTATTTTTCCAATATTTTTGTATACCTAAAACTACTCTGAAATTAGGTGTACTTAGGGGCGCCTGGCTGGTCCAGTCGGTGGGGCATGCATCCCTTGATTTCAGGGGTATGAATTTGCACCCTACATTGGGTGGAGAGATTACTAAGGAAAAATAAAATCTAAAAAAATTTGCCTTAAATAAAAAAAGGGTACTTTCATACTCATAGGTCTAAACTTAATGGAACTTAACTTCCCAAATGCTATTTATTTCCAAATAGAAGTTTCCTCAGAATGAGGATTTTAAGTCAGATTTATAGCTCAGTGTAAGTCAATAAAGATGTATGATGAAACTCTTAAAACAGAATTTAACCATTCTATAAAAGGACCCCAGGTATGGACTAGTGATTTTAAAGTAGTTCGTGGGGTCACTATTATAGCCTCATTTTAGCTTTGCTCAACAGAAAAGGTAGGCCGTTTTGAAAGAATTGTATTTCAGAAGTGACCATATTTTGATTTATAATAAAACACTTTTCAAATAACTTAGCCTAATATATCCCCTTAATGGTCCCTCAAGTCAAATCTTAAGGCTTCTTAGACATTTGTTGGACACTATTGAATCTTTTATTCTCAACATCCCTGAGGACAATTTTGTTAACACATTACTTTTGTATAGAGAATTTTATATGCATGTCAGTCTACCAAATCAGAAATTAAATATCTGGCATGTACAATTTCTACACCTCAAATAAAAGTCAAATTTTATCCAAAGACAGCATATTGAAACAAAAAGTTATTTTAAAAAACAGAGCCAGTGACCAGTTGTAAGCATTGCTTAGGATGTCGGAGTCCTGAGTTAATAATTAAGCTTGGTAGAGAGCGAGCACTCAGGCCTCCAACAGGCAGATGGGAC